TCAAGGAAGGAGGGGGGGGTGGAGGGTTCCTACCTTCCGGATAGTAGGAGGAGGGACGGTTTCTCCGCACTCATTAGTAGGGGGTGGAGGAGGTTCGATACTCACATACTAGAAGCTGGGGCGGGGTGGTTGCTCGCGCATCCAAATGTGAGAGGGTGGGTAGGGGTCGGTCCCCTCTACTCTAGAGGAGACGTTGGGGGTGCGTCGGTCTCTAGGTGTTGAAGGCGTTGTGGGTTTGACTACTCTATCTGTGCGAGGTGGGTGGGGCTCTCTCCTTCCTTTGGTAGGGGGGGGTGGGGGTCCAACCCCCTCATGTAAAGGGGCGGTGGGGGTCCGTGCGCATCATGTCGTAGGGGGCGGTGGGGGTCTATGCATTCCATTGTAGGAGGTGGTGGGGGTCCACATGCGTCATGTTGTAGGGGCGGTGTGGGTCCGTGTGCATCATGTTGTAGGGGCGGTGGGGGTCCGTGTGCATCATGTCGTAGGAGGCAGTGTGGGTCCGTGTGCATCATGTTGTAGGGGCGGTGGGGGTCCGTGTGCATCATGTCGTAGGTGTGGTGGGGGTCTGTGCGCATCATGTCATAGGGGCGGTGGGGGTCTGTGCGCATCATGTCATAGGGGCGGTGTGGGTCCGTGCGCATCATGTCGTAGGAGGTGGTGGGGGTCCACGTGCATCATGTCGTAGGGGCAGTGGGGGTCCGTGCGCATCATGTCGTAGGGGCTGTGGGGGTCCGTGTGCATCATGTCGTAGGAGGTGGTGGGGGTCCACGTGCATCATGTCGTAGGGGGCAGTGTGGGTCCACGTGCTTCATGTCGTAGGGGCGTAGGGGGCAGTGTGGGTCCATGCGCATCATGTCGTAGGGGGCGGTGGGGGTCCACGTGCATCATGTTGTAGGGGTGGTGGGGGTCCGTGTGCATCATGTCGTAGGGGCGTAGGGGGCAGTGTGGGTCCGTGTGCATCATGTCGTAGGGGCGGTGTGGGTCCGTGTGCATCATGTCGTAGGGGCGGTGGGGGTCCGTGCACTCCACACTGTAGGAGGCGGTGAGGTTACATGTGCTTCATGTCGTAGGAGGCGGTGACCTTCCAGGACGTGGCCGTGGTCTTCAGCGAGGAGGAGCTGCGGCTGCTGGTTCCTGCGCAGAGGGCGCTGTACCGCGAGGTGATGCTGGAGAACTTCCGGAACCTGCTGTGCGTGGGTGAGCGCGGCCCCCTGTAACGTGGGTGGCGGCGATGTCTCCAGGCACACTGCCTCCCGGGAGCACTCGGGCTTGGCTGCTCCTGGCGCCTTCCTGCTTCCCTGTTGCTGGTGGGCGGGTCCCGGGGACGGGTCAGCACCAGCGCTCTGGGCGTGGGGTGTTGCGGTACCCGAGATGGCCGGCAGTTAGGCGGTGCCTGCCTCGTCCGTGCGAGGTGCAAAGACGTTGACTGGAAACGAGTCGCCGCATCTTCTGTTTCGGTGGCCTCTGGGCACCAGTGATGGATTCCTGATGTATTTCCTCCAGCCGGTCTTGGCGCGGGTCCGGGTTTGAGAAACACTGCTGGGGCGGGGGGGGGCAGGGGATGGGTGGAGCTTACCTTGTGGGACTGGGGCTAAAATTTTCTTAATACCCTTCCCCCTTGTTTCCACAGGGCATCAGTCCTTCAAGCCAGATGTGATCTCCCAGTTGGAGAGAGAGGAGAGGCTTCGGGTGCAGGAGATCCAGACCCAAAGAGGTAGGCTGCAGGGGGAGCTGCCGTCGTAGACGGCGGCCCCGCTCCCCTGCGTGCTCCCTGAAAACGCGGGCGCCATCGCGTTTCTGTCTCGCGTCCCCGTTGCTCGTGTCCTCCAGGTTCCGAGGGAAGGCGCCGGGGGCCGCGCAGCTGGGCTCGCCTGCCAGGCCCTCGCTGATCCTGCGTTGTGAGCGTGTGGTCCCGCGTCAGAGCTTCTTAGCTTCTCTCCCTCTGGGGTGCGCTCACCCAGCTCATGTCTGAGGGGCGTCCTCCGGCCAGGCCAGCCCCTGCGTGGCCCTCCGTGCCTCAGTTTCCGCCACAGCACCCTACCTCGAGGCTTACAGTTTCCTGTTAATTATGTGAAACATAACCACCGCGCAGAGCGCACCCGCTCATTTTCAGTCCTGGTGCTTTTCCCCAGCAGTGTTCAGCGTCCGCGTGTACCGCTGACAATCTCATTACTTGGCGTGGTGTCAGTCTTTCCTGGGCCTGTGGGTCTGGGTCTGTGGGCCTCTTGTGCCTGCGTAATCAGATCTGCCTCTGGACTTGGGGGTCCCAGCTGCTGTTTCTTGGAGTAGACTTTGTATACCCTTCCTTTTTCCTTCGCACTTCAAATACTGGCTCATCCGATGGCGAGCCCGAGGTCCCGGAAGCTGGGTTCTGAAGCGCTCCCTCCGCTCTGCCTTCTGGGTTCCCAGGATGTACACGTTTATCCACCTACGTCCGTAAGCTTGTTCACTCGCTTTTCTCCTCCATTTGACCGTTTCCCATGGCCTGTCCTCAGCTTCACAGTTCAGGTACTTTATCGCTAAGCTTGAGAATTTCATCTGATTCTTTATATATTTTCTTTCTGTTGATTTTTCTCATTTACTTCATGCATTATTGGTAATAATTTTTTAAAAAGCTATAGGAGGCCAGCATTACGGCACAGCAGAAGATGGCCCACGTGCTCGGGGCCCTGCTAACCCCGTGGGAGACTTGGAGAAGCTCCTGGCTTTGGCCTGGTGCACTCCTGGGCACTGCAGCCTCCGGGGAGTGAACCAGCGGATGGAAGATCTGTCCCTCCCTCTCTGTAACTGTCAGACAAATAAGTAAATCTTTAGTCTCCCTATCCTTTTTTTTTTTTTTTTTTAATACTGCAGAGTCTAACCAGAACTAAATTCAAAGTGGTCTATCGTTCTCCTAATTTGGTTTAAAATAGTTTTTAAATCCTGTTAAGTCGGAGCCCTGTGTTTCCGTAGACTTTGTTCCTTTGAACACCTTCCTTCTTCGGTTCTTAGTGTGCAGAAGTGTCGGCCAGGCGTTTCACACTTGCTCCTCATCAGGAGAGCGCTTCCCGGGGTAAGAGGTCATCTAAGGCCCCTCAGGTCGCAAGCCCCCCATCCAGACAGATGCCTTCAAGGCCTTCATTACCCAGAGTCCCCGGCTTCTCGGGACCTTCGCTGTCTGGGGAGTCCCTGCGCCGTGGAGCCGTCTCCGGGCCCCTGCAGCCCATGTGTGGTCACTGCTTTTCCCTCTCGTGGCCCCAGGCAAAGCCAAACAATCGCTGTTCATGTAGCTCCTGGCAGGATGTTTGGAATAAGGTCTGCTCCTCCGCCCCGGGCCGTGCCGAGCTCCGGGGGAGGCTCTGACAGCCCACGGGACGCCGCGTCTCCGCCGTGACCAGCGGGGTTCTCTGGTGCAGGCCCCCACGGGCGCTCTGGGGAGAACCTCGGGCAGACTGCTGTCGGTGCTTTCACGGGCCTTGGGCCTCCCGGCTCACCCAGGGACGTCCTCCTCTCGCTGATTGCTTTTTCTCTGTCCTGTCAGGAAGCAAGAATGGAAACAAGACGGGGACGTGTCATGATGCGGAATCGAGGTGCCTGGCTCTGGGGGACCTTTCATGCTGGCGCATCGAGCGACGTCCTGGAAGCCAGTTACCTGGAAGTCAGGACTCCGTGGTAGACGTGCGTGGAAGGAGCTCTCGGCTCCCCAGGCCAGATCGCGGCCCCTGTCGGCTGGGAACAGGACAGTCCCCTCGGGCGTCTGCAGACGGCGGCTGTGTAGGGGATCTTCCAGGGGAGCTTTCTACTATTGGAGACCAGGAGTTTGTACCCGGGGGTGCTTGCAATTCCCGGACTAAAATCTCCCTGGGTGAGACGCAGAATTGCCAGACGAGGTGTCCACAGACGCAGGGGAGGAGCAGAGGGCGCATACTGGCTCCACGTGTCGACCTCTTGAGTTGCATTTCACGCCACCACGCCGACACCCACGAAGGCGAGGAGGCCCGCGGCCTGCAGGGCCCGCCTCCCAGCCAGCACGGTATTCGCCCAGGACAGAAGCCCCACCCGCGTGAGGAGTGCGGGAAGGCCTTCAGCGAGAGCCGGAGCCTGGCCCTCGGGCAGCAGGTGCCCCTGGCGACCGAGTCCCCTGCCTGCTGCAAACCCGAGGAGGGCGCCGGCTCCGCCTCCGCCACGCCCCTTCAGGCCAGCGTGCGCGCGGGGAGAAAGCGCTACTGGTGCCACGAGTGCGGGAAGGGCTTCAGCCAGAGCTCGAACCTGCAGACGCACCAGCGCGTGCACACCGGGGAGAAGCCCTACACGTGCCACGCGTGCGGGAAGAGCTTCAACCAGAGCTCCCACCTCTACGCCCACCTGCCCATCCACACGGGCGAGAAGCCCTACAGGTGCGAGGTGTGCGGCAAGGGCTTCAGCCGCAGCACGGACCTCAGCATCCACTGGCGCGTGCACACCGGGGAGAAGCCCTACACGTGCGAGGTGTGCGGCAAGGGCTTCACGCAGCGGTCGCACCTGCAGGCGCACGAGAGGATCCACACCGGGGAGAAGCCCTACAGGTGCGCGGACTGCGGGAAGCGCTTCAGCTGCAGCTCCAACCTGCACACGCACCAGCGCGTGCACACGGAGGAGAAGCCCTACCGCTGCGAGCAGTGCGGCAAGTGCTTCAGCCTGAGCTTCAACCTGCACAGCCACCGGCGCGTGCACACGGGCGAGAAGCCCTACCGCTGCGGCGAGTGCGGCAAGGGCTTCAGCTCGGCCTCCAGCTTCCAGAGCCACCAGCGCGTGCACACCGGCGAGAAGCCCTTCCGCTGCAGCGTGTGCGGCAAGGGCTTCAGCCAGAGCTCCTACTTCCAGGCCCACCAGCGGGTCCACACCGGCGAGAAGCCCTACAAGTGCGACGTGTGCGGGAAGCGCTTCAACTGGAGCCTGAACCTGCACAACCACCAGCGCGTGCACACCGGGGAGAAGCCCTACACGTGCGAGGAGTGCGGCAAGGGCTTCAGCCAGGCCTCCAACCTGCAGGCGCACCAGAGCGTCCACACCGGCGAGAAGCCATTCAAGTGCGGCGTGTGTCAGAAGCGGTTCAGTCAGGCCTCGCACCTCCAGGCCCATCAGAGAGTCCACACTGGGGAGAAGCCCTACACGTGCGACACCTGCGGCAAGGCCTTCAGCCAGAGGTCCAACCTGCAAGTGCACCAGATCATCCACACAGGGGAGAAGCCGTTCAAGTGTGAGGAGTGCGGGAAGGAGTTCAGCTGGAGCGCCGGCCTCAGTGCGCATCAGCGCGTGCACACGGGGGAGAAGCCCTACACGTGCCAGCAGTGTGGCAAGGGCTTCAGCCAGGCCTCGCACTTCCACACGCACCAGCGGGTCCACACCGGGGAGAGGCCGTACATCTGTGACGTGTGTTGCAAGGGCTTCAGCCAGCGGTCACACCTCGTGTACCACCAGCGGGTCCACGCGGGGCCGTGAGGCGCGGCGCAGGGGTGTGGTGACGGGACGCCAGTCGGCCGTGGGGAGTTCCTGCAGCACCGTGAAATGTCGGAGCCCTCGGGGAGAAACTCAAGGCTGCGTTTCAGGGACTGGGTTGAGATGAATTCTCTGCAAACATCCGATTTCACGGATGAGAGAAACTGGGTTTTAGCAATGTGATGTTTTAATCAAGTGCCCACATTCTCAAGATACAATAGGGCAGAGGCATCTTAACACTGTCACGCCTACCCAGGGCAGGGGCCTTAGAAATAAAGATCGTGGGCAGGACTTCAGTGATTGACAAAGCCGATGGCAACTGAAATGTAACTTCCGTGTAGGGAAAGGATTCTCACCGCTGTGCCTCCACCATGTAGAATTGTGCTTGGCTTATAATACAGCCGGCAGCTCCTGAGGAAGGTGAAGGAAGGCTCCAAGTACTCAATTCCAGTCCAGCCCCTACCCTAAGTTCACAGCTGTATTCAGAAGAAAGCCTGCAAGTAGCCTTAACATTTTCAGGAAATACTAAACTATAGGAAATCTTGTAATGATGCCGGAAATAACAAATCTGGACGAAAGACTTGTGGATGACTCCCTTCCTTCCAGCCTTGGTTCTTTGTAGAGTGTATCATCAGTTACACAGAATGAATTTTAATATTCATTTGTATCTTACAGAAAAAATACTTTTTAATATAATTTGGCACTACAATTTATATGAGTGGCATTTTTGAACCATACTTCATTAAAGGTAGGATTACTATAACTTTTAAAGTGTTATAAGTAGTTACGGATGACAGAGTTTCTTAGTAAACTTCAGTTGTTAGGAATTCCCGTCTTCTCATTATTTCCATTCCGCTTGGCTCCTATAACATTCCTAGAAGTCCTTGCTCCAGGACCTTCTGAGTGAGAAGGGGTCTTGGCGGAGTTGAAGGGCACGGGTTCTGTCCCATTCCTCACTCCTATGACCATGCTTCCCCTACAGGGGAGGGAGGGAGACAGGACACCTGTTGGGTTTGGATGGAAATGTCAGTTAAACATAGAAGGGTGCAGCCATTAAAGCGACGGTGCAAAACGCTAACAGGAAAAGGACTCACGTTATGAAAAAGCCAAGCTGTGGCCATCCGCATAGGGATAGTGCATGGAAGAATATTAATTGCTAACAACGGTTGAACAGGGAGGGCTGAATTTTTTTTCAAGAAATTACTCACAGGGACTGTTAACAGCTGGACCAAAGCAGTGGAACTGTGTGTCAGTGAAAGTCCTTGCACATCTGTACCATAACGGCGTTCTCTTCCACGCCACGTGAACGTGTATGGATGCTCACTGTGCCGTTTCTGACAGCCAGCGATTGACAGACTCACAGAGTGCAGTGTGCGGACTCAGCTGAGGGAGGATGGATCGTAACTGCTGACCTTGTTAGGTACTTAGAGTATGATCATGTATGTGATAAATGTATATGTTACTGTTAAAGGACTAATTTTTATGCTTCTAAATCTTTATTTTCAGTGCATTCTAGCCATCAGGACAGAAAGAATAATATGAAGAATTCCCATATATACTTGGGGTCTCTAATGTGATCGGTAAGATATGCTTGTTTGCACCTGCAGCTGGTTCAGCGCCAGAACCTTATCTTCCCCTTACAGACGGCTGCACTGCTGGTCAAAGTAGGGCTGTCGAGGCCGTAATGCCAACACTGCTTTTTAGAATCCCAGAAACGTCAGGCTTTCAGAATCGGCCATTTGCTACAGGAGGGCGTCTGAAGCAGGCCCGAGCAGTTGGGGACACTGTGGTACAGGTGCGTTACTCCATAGAAAGGACCTATGAGGGCAACTTTAAAAGTTTATGGAAATGATGGAATGAAAGCACTTTGGTACAAGAAATTTTGAAATTCATGCATAGTTTTTAGTGTGCATTTCCATGAACTTTTTGAAGGCTGTTCAGGTGTCTAGAGAGAGTGTAAGAACCCTGGGAATATTTTAAATGTGCCTTGAAACAGGGACTTCCACTTGTGATAGGTGAGCAGTTTTAGTTCCTGTTGTACCAGAATTCCAGCTGACATCAAACGAACTCCAGACCGAATATTAAATGTTTCACATATTTGCAGTTTGAAACGTATGTATTGATGTGATATAGGAACCACACGTACATTTTCCTGCGTCTGTGTGCTCATCCTGCAGCTCCTCCATGTGCCTGGTTCCAGGACCGCGTCCTCTTGTGTACTCGGAGTCTTTTCTAAAACTTCGGATGCTACAGATACTGTGTAAGCAGTTGTTTATACAGAGAAAAAGAAAATGAGGCCTGCACGGGTTTAGTACAGAGCATTTTTTTTAAAAAAAATTGAGTGGTAGAGTTATAAACAGGGCAAGAGAAAAGGGACTTCCATGTGCTGGTTCACTCCCCAAAGGGGTGCAACACCCAGAACTGAGCTGATCTGGAGCCAGGAGCCTCTTCTAGGTCTCCCATGTGGGTTCAGGGGCCCAAGCTCCTTGGGCCATCTTCCACTACTTTCCCATCCCATAGCAGAGAGTGGGATGGGAAGAGGAACAGCTGGGACACAAACCATGTGGTTGCCGGCACCACAGCTGGAGGCTTAGCCTACTATGCCACAGCACTGCCCCAGTACAGACCATTAAAAGAAAAACTCACCCATGTGCAGAACTTGTGGACCCAGGATCCAAAGGCCCAACAGTCTCTCTGAAGGCAGTGGGGAATCAGCAGAGGTAGGCAGATGTTGGGGGTGGTTTCAGTACTGTGAAAGGAATGACGCGGGGCCAGTTTGCTGGTTTTTATGGCTTTGAGTCTAAGAGCAAGTCCCAGTCTGCACCGTTCAGGGCAGTTAAAGCTGATGGAAAACTTGCAGTTTGCTGGTTCAGAAAGTGAGAAGAGTTCAAGGCCTACAGCAACACTGCTGGAAAACAGAAATGCTCCGAGGAGACGCCGCAAGTTCAGGTGTGAGTGCTGACCGAATGTGTGACTGACCCTTCAACACGGGGCAGGGCAACTTAGCCAGCCAAGCCAGCACTCAGTGAGTGGAGTGTCAGCCGTCACCCACAGGAAAGCAGCGTCCACCCAAGTCCAGCTCGGTGTCCGACAGCCTTTTAACAACTGATCTCTGGAGGAACATAACAGCACATGATATCCAGGATCCAGTCCTAAGTCACCTGAGAGGAGAACATGAGCCATTCTCAAAGGGAGAAAAAAAATCGGTGGAAATCAACCTTGAGGCAATCCCGATGTTGGAATCAGTTACAGCTCTGTTTTAAAATGCAAAGTAAAGCTGTAAAAAGGATAGGAAATAGCTGCGAAACAGAAGCTGAGAAGGCAACCCAATGGAAATTCCAGAACTGAAAAACGTGATACTGAGATAAAGTCACTACCTCATGGTATGGCAGTGAGAGTGGTGTCCATGAACGTGAAGACGCCTTAGAGGAAGCACCAGTCGTCTGAAAGACTGCCAGAGCTCACACATAGGACGGTCATGTGATCCAAGTGGACGGATGTTGTACCAGGAACTCCAAGAAGGACACACTTGACCTACATGGCCTCACAGGGGAAGTCTACCAAACATTTAAGGAAGCAGTGAAGCCAACGCTCTGTAATATCTTCCAGAAAATAAAAGCAGAATGAACAATTTTCATCTCAAAGCCAGACACTGTAGAGATTAATCTACACCCTCCTTAAATAATGAATCGAGATAAAAACTCATAGAATGTTCACAGATTGAGTCCAAGAGTGTATAGAGCATTACATGCCATAACCAAGAGGGAATTCTCAAATTGGAAATTCATGCAACCCATCACATCAGTAGGCAACAGAAAAATCAGCTCTCACCTCAAGGAAAGCCATTAAACGAAGCCTGTAGGCAGCACAGTACTTAATGGTGCCAAGAGGCTTCCCCCCCCCCCCCCCCCGTCAAACAGCAAGGCTGTCCCCTACACAATTCCTATTCAGTACTGTGCTAGAAGTACTAGCTAACGCACTAAGACAAGGAAATTAAAGAAACAGTGATTGTGCAGGAAGAAATGAAGCTACCATTGTTCACAGGTAACATGACTGTTAGTGGAGAAGAGCCCAACAAACAAGGAACCAAAACTTGGAACTAATAAGTAGTCAGAAGACTGTTAATACACAGGCCAGTTGCTAGCAGTAGGCACTTTGAGGCAGAGGTCCAGCCGCTGTTTGGGCTGCCTGCATTCCATACTGGAGTGCCCAGGCTTTATTCCCAACTCTACTTCCTATTCTGCTTCCTGCTAATGCACACACTGGAAGACCACAGGTGCTGGCTCTAAGGACTTGAGTCCCTGCAGCCTACATGGGAGACCTGAATAGAGCTGCTAATGCCTCACTTCAGCCTGACCCAGCTGTGGTGGGCATTTGGAGAGTGGAGCAGTGGACAGCAGATCTCTAGCTCTCAAGTAAAACTCAGTTTGCACTACTACATAGCAGCAATGAACAACTGGAATGCAGAATCAAAACCAATACCATTTAGTTGAGCTCCTGAAATAAATACTCAGATATAAATTTAACAAAATATAGTAACCAAATGAGTATGACTATAAAACTGATGAAAGAAATCGGTGATCTGAATGAGTGGAAGGATACTCCATGTTCATGGACAGAAAGACTCGATGTTGACAAGATGGCCGTTCTCGCAGTTTGATCCAAAGATGGAATGTAATCCCAGTCAGTATCCCAGTAAGTTATCTTGTGGTTATTGACAAACTGCTGCTAGGGCTCATGAGTGTGGAGAAACCAAAGGCCCAGAATAGCAGCACATGGCGGGGAAAGCAGGCCTGGCACCATCGGACCTCAAGACACACTTCTGAAGCCACAGTAATCAAGACTCAGTGGTACTGGTGAAAGGGTACACAGGCAACTAAGCAAGCAGGGCCCTTCTGCCAAGGGCCACTTAGATATTTTGCACATCAGTCGCAGGCCATACAAAATCATCAACCTCAACTTCACCCTGCTATAGACTTACTGAATTTTGAGTCCCATATGCGGTAGCCTTGCCAGGATCAGACCAAGTGACTTCTGGGTCTTACGTGGCCCGCAGGCCAGATGTTCCCCACCCCTGGATGGAACAGAAGCCAACTGACCAAAGGTGGCGTTTCAGTGAACAGCTGAACAAACGACATGCAAAATGAAGGGGGAAAATGTAGACCTAGACCTTGAACCACTCAAAAGAATCAGAGTGGGCCAAAATTAAAACCCTGCCCATAGAAGACACTATGAAGAGAATGAGAAGGGGCTGGCATCGTGGTGTAACAGCTTAAGCCACAACCTGCAAAGCTGGCTTCTCATCTGGGCAGTGGTTCAAGCCCCGGCTGCTCCACTTCCAATCCGGTTCCCTGCTAATGGGCCTGGGAAAGCAGAAGATGGCCTGAGTGCTTGGGCCCCTGCACCCACATGGGAGACCTGGATAGAGCTGCTGGCTTCAGCCTGGCCTGGCCCAGCCTTGGTTGTTGCAGCCTTCTGGGGGAGTGAGCCTGTGGATGGAAGACCTGTCTCTTTCAAGTAAATAAATTTTTTTTTTAAAAAAAGAGCTACATGCCATCTTCAAGAGGTATACCTTAAATAGAAAGATGTAGCTAGGTCAAAAGTACATAGTTGGGGGCAGTGCTGGCACCCTATATGGGTGCCGGTTCCAGTCCTGGCTGCTCCACTTCCGATCCAGCTCTCTGCTGTGGCCTGGGAAAGCAGTAGAAGATGGCCTAAGTGCTTGGGCCCCTGTACCCAAGTGGGAGACCCGGAAGAAGCTCCTGGCTTTGAATCAGCACAGCTTCGGCCATTGTAGCCAATTGGGGAGTGAACCAGTGGATGGAAGACCTCTCTTTCTATGTAACTCTGACTTTCAAATAAATAAATCTTTAAAAAAAAAGTTCATAGTTTAAAAAGTCCACATGAAGAGTCGGCACTGGTGGCTGTGAGTACGTCGGGCAGGCTTCTTCACCAGGCTTCTGCCCGATGTGAAAGTTTTACAAAGACGCGAGGGCTGGTGCTCCAGCAGCACCTAGGAGTGTCTGCGCTGACGCAGTTTCAACCTATGAGAAGCCACACTTGGGAAACTACAGCGAGAAACGGGACAATCCAGAAAGGGTGTAGCCACTCTCCCAGGAACTTAGAACAACCAGCCCCGAATCGGGAAGGTCTAGCGTGGGTATCAGCCCCTGGGCCTGCTGGAGATTCGGGGAGCGCTACCCCAAGAACGACGGAATACGGTTCACTCAACTGGGTGCTTGCACAGTGATCTGGAAACTACCAGTCTGCATTTTACAGAAACCCAAGTTGTAGGTTCATCCCCTCAGTACGTAACTCATAGGGATTTGCAGCTTACACCTCTTCTAAACCACGGGACAGGTTATCTGGACTCTATCAGGATTTTCAAGACCAAACCCAAGTTTCACCAGGTGGGGTGGGGGGAGGGAGGGATGACCGTGGGAGACCCGGAAGAAGCTCCTGGCTTCTGGCTTCAGATAGGTGCAGCACTGGCCGTTGTGGCCACCTGGGGAGTGAACCAGTGGATGGAGGATGCCCCTCCCAGCCCATCCTGCCTCTGCCTCTGTTAAAAAAAAAGTTTCTTTGAAAGCCAAACGTGAGGGGATGGCATCGTGGAGCGGGGAGTTAAGCCGCAGGCTGTGACGTCGGCACCCGCGCTGGAGCGCCAGTTCCTGCCCCGGCTGCTCTGCTTCTGACCCAGCCCCCTGCTGACGCACCGGGAAGGCAGCGCAAGACGGCCCGAGGGCTCAGGGCCCTGCACCCGCACGGGGGTCCAGATGGAGTCCTGGTTCCTGGCTTCAGCTCGACCCAGAACTGCTGCTGCAGCCTAGTGGGAGTCAACCAGTAGACAATCTCTCATATGTGCGTGTGAGCCCACACACACACCACTCTTTCAAATAAAGAAATTAAAAAAAACTAAACATGAGACTATCATATTGACTTGGCAGTTGCAGTCCTGGGTATTCATCTGGGAAAATGGAACCCTATCTGTACAAAAACCTACATCCGAGTGTTTGTTGTTGCTATAATTTTGGGTATTACAAATATATAGCTAAGAACAACTTTGTGGCTTCCCAGGTTAGGGTTGGGGAGCAGGGCCTGGCTGCACTGGGGTGACGAAAGGAGTTTCTTTGTAGTTGCCAAAATCTGCGCAGGGCACAGAATTGCACGCTATCTCACACACATACCTACGTATGTGTACACTCTATTGACTATGATACACGCAACTGAAACCTGACCAGCGATTGCAGTCCC